TATTATTATTACTATTATTATTATATATTTCGTTCTTTAATGAAGGGATTTAGTCATTCATTCACGAGCTAGTAGTAACATCGTTATTACCAAAAACATTTCTTTATGTGGTGTTTACGGAAAACTATCTATTTAGGTTTAATATAAAGGTAAAGTTTGCTCCCAAAAAATGTTATTTAAACTATTGACTATATACAATAATTCGCCATGCATATATTTAGGTTATTACGGTCTATAAATAGTGTAAAAAGTAATATATGAAGCTAATGTTGTAGTAACTTTGAAAATTATAACTTCAGTTAAAAAATAAAATAAAATCTGAAAAAYTATCAATATTAAAAAGTAAAAATGGTTCATTTTTTTTTTCCCCGGGTTTTTTTCTTTTTTCTTTTACGCGAGAGAAGTCTGGAAAACAGGAAGTTTTGCCACTTCATCCATTCATCTTATAAATAAATTTTCTTTTGTCTRCGAAACCGCATCTACCTTCTTGAAGAATATCGTAGAGGCATTACTAACATATGTTTGTTCAAGAGCTACTATAAACACAATAGCCAAAATGAGGATATTGTTAACCGAACTGGCCGAACAATAGCACACTAATGTGCGTTCTTCGTACAAAACTTATACAATATTCATATTAAACATCTTTTGAACAAAATAAAAGAAAACCCCAACACGGTTTCAGATTAAAATTAGGTTGATTTTGACCCCCAAGTGGTGCGATATAGAAAATGATATTTAAGAATTAATGGCTCAATATGCTAGACAAAGTGTTCAATTTTAATGAAAGAATGACCGTATGCTTTTCTTACAATTAGTTTGCGCTTTATCTTTCCATTTTTCGCACTGGGCCAGCGTACATCAAACTCAAACCAAATTATCATTGTKGTTATAATTATTATGGTCATTGAAAACATTAATCTTAACCTGGTTAGGATAAAAAGAAAACAATTCACATGGACATGGTATAGTACATGAAAATATTACGTATTAGTGTCTTAACACCCAAGGCTATTTAGAGGTTCTTGTGTGGATTATAGTCTATATTGTTCTCCTATGAAAATCTTTGCCACTTAATAGTCTCTTAGTTCAAAGGTAATGGGTTCTGGCAGAGTGTCTAAGTTTTTACCAATCCAAATACAGTCTTTCAACATCACCACTTTTAACTTTAGTTTCAATGATATCTCACTGATTGTCTATCTTGTGCGTACGTTTTGAATCCAGCTTTCTCTATCACCATTTTTCATTTCGATGGCAATGTGATCTGCCCGAATTTCTATGCGAATGTCTTTCCCTTTGATACCAATCAAACGAATGCATTCTWGCATCGAAACTGTGCGGAACCAAACTGCTAGAGCAACAAGAGCACAGAACATGAGGTGGTGTAGCTGGTGCAGCAAGTGTCGTGTACCTRCCACACTTCGTGGGCCAGTAAAGCTGACTCGGTACGAAAGACCCTACAAAATGTCCTCTTTTTTCTGGAGTATATGGACGGAAACTTGAGTACGAAGCATGAAAAACATTAAATTCATCCTCCTCTTTTTCCTCTTCTTGCTTCACTTCTGCAGTAGAAACTAGCAGCTTCCCACCTTTTTTTGGTATTCCTGAGTCTGCATTATCGGTTCCTTCTTCTGTTTTAACTTCTCGAGTTTCCATTTCTGTTTCTTCGTCAGCTGTACTTCTTGCCTCTAAGTCGTCTTCATTGACCTCTGTTTCGTTTTGATTTGGCTCGTCTGTACCAATTTCTTTAATCATTGGAGCATTCGAACCTTCATGTCTTTCAACTCGAGAGCTCTGTAGTCCTKCAACGTGCTCGTGGCAGAAACAAGAGTAACCGCAACCCTGGCGACCTAAAGAACGTCGCTTCACTCTTCGTCTTGGTCGATATTTGTAGTTCGGATGCTCAATCATGTGGAGCTCATTCAAAAGTTTGGCCTCAGCAAAAAACTTTTGTCTCTCTTCTTCTCCTAATTTTCTCCATTCTGTGCCGAGTATCTTGCTTATTTGAGAATTGTGAAGCTTTGGGTTTTCTTTCGCGAGCTCTCGGCGTTTTTTACTTGACCAGATCATGAACGCGTTCATTGGTCTTTTGATGTGTGGCTCTGTGGTCATTCTGGTTGTGTCTCAGRCCAGTGCAAAATGTCCCAATACCACAAAAACTCCTTTGTCAACTCGCAGAAGATCTATCTTCAAAAACTAGATCTCTAACCGGGATGTGAGAGCAGATATCAATGCAGTTGAAGTTTGAATTCAATTAGAATGTCTCTTGGTTGCGCCGCGCTTGACTTCTGCAAGGTAGAATGACTGTCCCCTGTTTGAGCAACCCTACTTGTTTAAGCCTTGAATTGCCATCCTTTTATTCAATGTGATCAACAAAAGCTCTCTCAAATTAATTAAATATTTATAATCACTATTCACTGGAGCCAAAGATCAACGATATAATTACATGACACAATTTGTTCATCTTGTAAACACTACGAAAAGCCCCATTAGCAACACACTGAAAAAATTTCCAAACACCATTCTCTCATTTTTTAACCTAGAAAACCCTCAAAACCATTTCTCTTACGACCTGCATTAGTTTCGTCTACAAGAAGCGAATTTTTTGAACATAAAACGAGTCTTTTGTAACCCAGCTGTTGATGCAGAGACACCTAAAAGTTTTTCTATTAACTTTCTCTGCTTGTCACTTGCTTGCCGAGTCATGTTATATATTACCAAAAAAATCCGACTAGTTTTTGAATAGCTTGGAGCAAGACAAATATAGCAGCTCTTTTATCTATCAATGTCCTTGTTATTAATATTAGCGCACAGAAACAAACTTTGGCTCAATTTGAGCCATGAAACTAATAAACTGGCTATAGCGCCCATCACGTGACAAAGGATAGATGTTTGAGCYGCAAATGGGTCAAATAGACCTCTCGTGCCATTTACAACTTTGGATTATTTCAAAAACGAAACTAATTGAGAAACCTTTCATTTGAGTTTTACTTTTAGCCAGATGGAATTGAAAATGGAACTAGTATAAAGTTTAGATTAGTCCTCCTCTTTTCGTCGTTTTCCCTGTGTGTGCGCGCGCGCGTGTTTTAAAGTCTAAATRAATGAATGAAAGGCCAATCATCATATTATTCAGTTGTAATAATCATTTGTGCTCAATTGTTTTGGGATCACAATTATCTCCCAAAGTGAAGTAATGAAATTGACTTTGAAAATTGCAACCACTATAACCAATCTTGACGAAATGGGACAAAAAAATAAAAGGATGAAAGAAAATATAGGAAAAAATTAAGGCCTAAAAAATGCATGAAAAAGAATAATGATAAAGTTTTGAGAAATCATAAATATACGTTGGTATAGRAGGAAAGAAAGGAGAAAAGCTAAAAGCAAGCGTATTTCGTTAAGTATAGAAAAGAAGTAAAATGAGAGAAATGAATAGTTTAATTTTTAGCCCAATTTAAGAAAAAAGTTGAAGAATAACATAAAGAGGTTTTGTCTTTTGGTACAACTTAAGTTGAAAAATAATATTTGAGGGATTTTTTTACACAAGTTTTGACCATATGGAAAGAACTTCCTATTCGCCAAGCATTGTATGCCATAGTTAGTTCCTTGAGTGATTCACCRAGTCTATTTTGCTTAAATAGTATATTTGCCTTAAAACTCTTATAACAAGAACATTAAGGTAGCAGTGGGTGGCCCCACGATCGACAGTTTCAAAGAAACACACTCCTTGACTTAAATAAAAGGATTTCTTTTGTCAGATGAAGTTATGTACTTTTCTTTTTCCTTATCGTACAAAACACACCAGGAGAAGAAAAAAATGCCCCTTAGAAAAGGTAAAATCATCTGGATTATCAAATATCAGGGATTGTAGTTTTTAGGAAAAGCAATTTCCAAAGATTTTTTTTCTTCTTGGGACTGCAGGCGGTCCCCAAAAATGCAATTTCTAAAGAAATTCGTAATGTACTTTCGACAAAAGAAAGCAAAAGAAAAAATCAATTTTTCTGTATAATTCGCCTTACGTTTTGATGAGCGCGAAGTACAACAAAGTGTCTCTCAAGATGGTACGAAAAAATAACAATGCAAATGAATAGATATGGGACTATAGAACAAAACTGGAAACCGAAAACAAATATCGAAAAATTAAACTGGAAAAGGAAAACTAAGAAAGAAAAGAAAGCTGGAAAGCGTAAAACAACGTTATTTTCTGATTTGAAATTTAGCAATATTTTTACTGAAGTATTTTCTATACGCCATTGTTTTTAACATCAGTAGACAATAAGCACTATGTTAACTATAAACGTAAATTGAAACCACCCAATTTTAAGGAAAAATATTACCCAATTTTAGGGCAAACGTTTCTAAACTAAAACATAGATTTGAAATAAAAATAAAACGAATTTCAACATTCAACATTTAGTTTAGACTTTGAGATAATTGGATATAGATAAGAACAATCTTAAGATATGATTTTCAGCTTAGAACTTTTTAAACGAAATCTTTAAATGTTTTGTGTGTGTGTTATTTTAGTATGTAGACGTAAAGCCCCGTTTACACTGGCAATTTTTGCGGCGATTTTTGCTGCAATTTTTGGAAATATGAAAATATGAAATCTTTTGTCTCATCCTTCAAAAGAGACATTCGTATAGGAAAATCTTGGTATCCTGAAAAAGACTTTACATATAAATTCATTACCATTATTTATTATGGACAAAATCGCTAAAAAAATCGCAGTAAAATTCGCCGCAAAAATCGCTAGTGTAAACGGGGCTTAACGCGAAAGTGAGAAGAGATTGCATATTGAATAATAAGCTTTTACGAATTTAAATGGTTATTGGTATTAAACAAGCACRAAATAGCACTATTCAGACCAACACATTATAGCCAGATCTATTCATGTTACAATACAATATTATTGACTTTATTTTATAGACTTATTAAATATTAACAACTCGTTCTACATCAAAATACGTTGAAAAATTGTAAAAAAAATCCTTATTGCAGTTAGAAATCTCCAAAAAAGAAAAATTAAAAGAAAAAAGAAGACAAAAAGTGSCTGTTAGTCATAAGTGCGTTGGTCTTTGGATAAGGCAAACTGTCGGCGAACACGTAGGCTTTTGCAAGAACATTGGCGTCATTAAATAGCTTATTTAATACTAATTTCGTCTTTCTCAGTTCCTCGCATGTAAATAGTCTATTCATACTAGAACACAACAAAACTACCTTAATTGTAAAATAGCTGCCAAGATCCAAATAGAATAGGTACCAGCTTGTTACAGCTGGTGCCTCAACGAACTAAATCCCCACCGACTCCAGCTATTACACAAACACGTTCATTCATCTACCAAATACATTATCCTTCCAAGTAATAACACAGCACTGTAAACTAAGTGTGATTTCTTTACAATCCAAGCATTATTTAATCGTCGCTTCAAAGGTTAGCGGCGCGGTGTATTGGAAGCGCGCGGTGTCCATGTCATCCACCCAAAATTGATCGTTGATGTCATTTAGTGTAAAATACTAGCTCTCTTGTTGGATTTAAAATGCTCTCAGATACCTCCTGCTTAAATCTTTGATTTATTGGTAAAAGTAATTTTCCTATTAGACGTTCTCGGCTGTGTATAAAGTTAATAGGGACGCCCTTCTTCATACATGCAAATTGTTCATCATTCAAAACAAMTCCTTTTACTTCTTGATTTTTTTTCTCTAAAAGTAATATATTGTTGTTGCTGTCGTTAYTATTGAACAATTTGATGTTTATCTTAACATCGGCTTACTCATAGAGCYTATGTTCTGATTATCGTTGATATTTATTATGCTGCATGCTGTTGTCTTTGTTGCTGGTAGTGATGATGTTGGTGTTGTTTTCGTTGTTGTTACTGCTAGTCATGGCAGCTTTGTTCTAACGTCATTTTTGTTATGATTTTCAATATCATTCGGAAACAATCGCAAACCGTTTTCTTTATAGCAAGACATATTGAAGAGAAGAGAAGGAATTGATATTCAAAGATAAAGAACAACAAAATTAAACAAAACCCTTTGTTTTTACAAATTACTAAAACGGTCTTCAAAGTAGCTGAACCTTGAAAAAAATCACGCAAAACTGGACAAGTGGGAAAAAAGTGGGAGCCAAAACGCTTTGAAGATCTGACTTCATTGGATTACCATTAAGAGAGATCGGGGAGACAAATTGTATTAAGTTTGATATTTATGCTTTTGAAGTACTATACCAATTGAGAAGACTTTTCTATGACATTAACTGAATATTACGATACGATAATGAAATGGTTTCTTCTCTCAACCAATCACAAACCAAGACAAGGGAAGCTATCCAATCAAAATGCTTGAATGCAAAAGCCATTTTAGTGTCACGGTTTCGCTCTTTTGTTCGGTCTAATGCTTATACGATTCGGGGATTTTCAGTTAAAGACTTTCATATATCGAAATAATATAAACAATTTTAGATAATATAAGGGAAAATTTTGTTATGAACMGAAGTAGTCTTCAAGTACGGTAGCTGAATATTATTAAAGACGAAAAAAGAAAACGAGACGCTAACGTCGATAGGAAAACATATTTTTCTCTTTTGGGCTTATCATGCCAATATTTGAAAGATTATCGCTTCAAAAATCTAATGGAAATGCTAGCGAYGAGAAAAGTTTCATTTCTTCTCGGGGGGTTTTCTTTTAGTTAACAGGTGAAAGAAAAGAACCAAACAAGAGCGAGAGAGAGAAAAGAAAGAAAGCAATACGGTGGCTTTGTTTGAGAGGGTTTTGCTTCGACTCCCCAAGTATTCAAGAAAAAAAAGAAAAGAAATGAAAAGAAAATGTACGCAAAAACAAACAAACTGGAAAACATATAAACAAAAAAAGGAAACACAAGAGAGAGAAAAAACTAAAGAAAAAAGCGAACGAAAAATATGACAAAAAAAAAAAAAAAAAAAAAAAAAAAAAAGAAGAGAAAGAACAAGTAAACTGTCTAATTTGCGAATGGAATAGTCCTTTTTGATGTTCAACCGTTCCAAGAATCGTGCGATATTCAGATCATTGTCAAATGAACTCTGACTACATGGAATTTCACACTTCTAAGTTTAAGTTAGTCATGAATAAAAACTTAAAAAGTTAAGTCAAAACCTAATGAGTTCATACAATGGTTTTAATTAGTTAAATAAGMCTTTTTCTGGTTAATCGTTATGAATTGTTACCTAAACATTAAAAATTCAACGATTCTTATTCGAAGCTAAGGAAAGAACCTTATAGTGCTAATAGCCTTTTATTCTCAGTGTTTGGTAAATKTAGTGTATGAGACAGACTGT